CTGTGCGCGCCGCTCCTGTTGCCCGTGTGTCTGCAGCTTCAGTCGGCGCCTTTCATCTTCTCGCCCTCACAGTTTCTCCTCCTCCTCACTTGCCCTCTATGATCACCTCTAGCTTTGCTTATAATTGTGAACTATTGCTATGCCTGCTCATTGTACTGATTACACCCCACTTTGGCTATGGGGGTGTGTCAGAATGTTATTATTGTCTAGCCTGTAGTGGGGTGCTCTATAGCGAGTACAACCCAGTTAGGGTTTGCTATATGTACCCCAACTGCTGCTAGTGAAACCCCTCTCCTTTCAATCATTCTTGCCTAGTCTTGTTGACACACTCCTCTGGCTACAGGTCACTCGCTCTCAGCTCCACCTTCGGACGAGTCCGTAGAGTCGAGTGGTCCTTACCCAGAGCTAGTGGGCTGCCTCATGTATCTGATGACCTGCACTCGTCCTGACCTTGCGTACCCTCTTGGCCTTCTCGCTCGCTACGTGGCTCCTGGTAGGCACCGACCAGAGCACATGGCTGCTGCTAAGAGGGTACTACGCTACTTGTGCAGTACATCGGGCATGGGGCTTGTGCTTGGAGGACGGAGTGAGGTGGTGCTCACTGGGCACTCAGACGCGTCTTGGGTTGACGACCAGACTACTCAGCGGTCGTCACAGGGTTACACCTTCAGCCTTGGCTGTGGCTCTGTTTCTTGGCGGTCTACACGCGCTGAGATCTACGCCACAGCCATGGCTGCACAGGAGCTACGCTGGCTCACCTACCTGCTGACTGACTTGGGTGAGCGGCCTCGTTCTCCTCCAGTGCTGTACGTTGACAACAAGGTGGCCATTGCCTTGTGTGAGGAGCACAGACTGGAGCACAGAACGAAGCACATTGCTCTGCGTTACTTCCTGGCTCGAGAGTTGCAGCAGCGAGGCCAGCTTCGTCTTCGCCACGTGGCCACTCGGGCCAACACTGCTGATATATTCACCAAGGCACTTCCGTCTGGTGATCATCAGCGCTTTTGTACTCTGTTGGGCCTTGTGCCTACGTTTCCACACTTGTTGTAGTCTCTGCTTGTACTGTGATCTATATATATATATGCATGCTGGCTCTTGCTAGGTAGCCATCACTGTACTGTTATTGCTGCATATATATCTCTGCATGTGGACTGGCCTTGTGGCCCTTTGCTTGTGCTCGGAATGTGTGGTGACGTTGTGATCCACCCTGAGCTTGTTTTGTTTCTCTTGACTGGTCGTGTGACCCCTTGTTCTCCCCCACTTTGCCTATGGGGGTGTGTCAAACTATATGTGTTGCATATTGTCTAGGCTGTAGTGAGGTAGCCCATATGGGGTACAACCCAATTAGGGTTTACTACTTGTACTCCTGCATCCTGCTAGTTCAATCATTCCTGCTGCTAGATTCTGACAGCTGGCTACCGCGGTATCCTTCTTATTCGGCTCGGTGTGGTTGATTGTGTGAACTTGCACAAACACTCGGTGAGGGTCGGTTGGGTCGGGCGAGCGGCGTGACCTATCTGTAGAGGGTCCATCTGTTACTGACTCCCAGCGCTTCCTTGCTGCTTGGTCTGTTTCTGCTGCTCGACTTCCCCCTTTCCCTTACCGTTTTGATGGCATTCGCTTTTGCAGTGTCCCGGCCGATTGTACGTGAAGCAGCACCCTTTGAATGGTGCGGCGGCCGCATTTGCGACAACGGCACATATTGTGGCGTGCTCATTCGTCCCACAAGACCAATGTCCCCCATTGATGTTGTTTTCATAGGACCCCAATCTCGGTCGGCGGAAGAAGTCAAGCTTCTCCGCCATAGCAAGAATCTCATGAAAATTGGTGGCGCCGCGGAGCTGAATTTCCTGGGCGATATCGTGCTTCAGGCCGCCGATGTAGCGGTCGATGCGCTCGCCTTGTACATATAATCCTCTTGCTCACACAGCACCAGAAACCCGCTGGTGTAGTCTTGGACGGAACCGAGCTGGCGCCAAGTGTGGAGCTTCTGACGCGCCGCAATCGAAGCCGCAATTGGCTAAAATCGGGCCCGCGCAGACCTGCGCACCACGTGCGATAATGGGGCGCCTCCACAAAATACGATGGCGCCCAGGGTCTGGTTTGTCATTCCCGTACTAATAGAGTCGCGTAGTCCGTCGGCTTCGTGACGATGACGCGCCACAGTCCATGGCGGGTCCTCGCAACAGCGACACGGCGTAATGAATCTTTGCCGTATCCTCCGAGACGTAGTTCGCGTCGAAAAATACGCTCATGGTCAATAACCACGCCTGAACGGTAGGACCACCCCGTTGGCTCGGGTCAAAGCAAGGCAAATGAGAGGTTGGCGACAACAGCAGGTGCAGGATTGTCAGTAGGAGAAGTGTGGTTATCAAGTGAAGGTTGGGAGTCGTGACCAACGCTAGAGAAATCCATCTTTGCCTATGATGGTGTCGTTCGGATCGATGCCAATTTTTGTAGTGGGTTCACATATTTTGGGTTCCGCGTATTTTATTCGGGCAAGGCCTTCCGTGTGATTTCGCGGCGCATCCATTCTACTTTTGTTGCGCGGAAGTTGCGTAGAAGCCCTGCTGCTAGTGCTCGTGCATTACTTGTGAGAAGGTTGATGCTAGCTCCCGAGGTAGAATCAGCACCGCACAAATGGTGCGACCTTTTGCCCCTCGATGCAACATCCTCGAACCAGCTGACGGTTAAACTTTTGCGCGCCACGAAAGTGGTGTTCTACATGTTAAAGCGTCAAAATTGGCGCAAAGAGGTCTGACAACACCTCCCTTATCACCAAACCTGGATAAGCAGAAAGGGCCTTATCAACGAAGATTCTGCGGACCCAGTTTTTGGCCTATAAACGCCTGCAGAACAACGTCATCGTATCGTTCAATTGTTGTTCGAAATGCGCATCGGCGATGTCTTTTACAAATGATGCTTCGTTTAAGTTTAAGTGTGGTTTCAAGTTTTTATTATGGTCATAACCGTAAACAATACAAACTCAGCAAGCATGGAAAGCCAAGGTCTAAAAGGCCAACAATAGAATAGTGTTACTTGCCGATCCGAGGATAGCATGAAGACACAGCCTTCATGGAGTTGTACCACTAAACACCAGAAGATTCTAAGGAGGATGATAAGTGTCATTGAGTAGCTATGATTCCCGAAGCGTGGGTAGGCATTCAATTTGAATCGAAGTTATCAAGTCGACATGTAGTAGCAGCACGTGGCTTTCTGTTTCTTAGGGCGTATTCCTATCCTCCTATCAAGAAAACCTCTTATCAAGCTCACACTGAAAAATCCCCTAAACCCAAAACCTCTCGCTACTTTTACCAGGCAAAAGGTACAATCTTGATAGGAGGTTTCTTGATAGGAGGCCGTAGGAATGGTACGCCCTTAGCAGACCATTTGGATCGACAGTGAAATAGATTTTGCGCGCCGTCGGGAAAAGCGCGAGTTTCTGATGGAGGGCCTTAGGTCGGGAGTGATTACACCCTCGTTCTCAGCCTTATCACGGCAGAAGCACTGGCTACTGTGTTTGGACATAGCGGGCTGGTGCGATAACCCTTGCGGGCAAAGTCCCACGAGGCGACGAAACAGGCCTTGGGCCAAAACAATCTGTTAACGCTGAATAACCATCTTAACGCTTTGAAAACAACAGCACCATTTTAGAACGTAGAAAACCTTGATTTAACGCCCTGGGTCAAACCTTGATTTTAGTTTGATAGGATTTTCTTTGGACCACTGCGGTTACACTAAGCGTCTCGGTCAGTATAACATATTCCAGTCTATAGAGAATGACGGTGTAGTCTGTTCGAAGTGGCACAATTGGTGCTTCTAGAGAAGTGCGCCAAACAAGTGCTCAATGTCCCGTGGATCTTGGAGGAAGTTCTTGGCCGAAAATGTGCCACGCTGGATTTTGTTCTTCTTGAATCAGTCATTGTAGTGGCCTCAGTTGAGGCGCTGGATTTTAGATTGAAATGCGCCTCGGCGATCAATGTGCCGCGTGATTGGTTTGAGCGGCTAGACAGCTGATTGGCGGATTCGACTTTTTGTTCCAGAATTTCGCCCCCTAATCAACACGCGGTCCGTTTTCCCTGTCCACCTGACGGACTGCCAGCATCCAAACCAACGTCTATGCGGGCCATCTTCAGTACAGACGCATGCGACGTCGCATGTTGGTATTCGAGATGCCATGTGAAATAAAGCGAAATACGGTTACCAGCAAAATGTTCGGACAGTGCATGGGCTGGACGAGGAAAGGCCAAAATGTAACACAGCCAAGAATGTTTGTTGAGGCTGTGTTCTGCGGGCGCATCAGCTCTGATGCGCCCTAGGCTCGGCCTGATCCGCACATTGACAAATTGAGGTTCGGGAATGAGGAATTTGAAATTGAAAAATAGAGGTTCGGAAAATGGAGATTGAGGTTCGGGAAATCGGAGAATGGAGATTTCGAATTTCGGGCATGTCAATTTTCGATCTCAAATTTCCGAGGAATTTCAGGGTGCTGAAGGTTCTTTGAAGCAGGGAAGCACGCACCTGACGCCTTCCCCACACCCCTAATTTCGAATTTCAACAGCCCAATTCGATTTGATGCGCGCATCATGCGCGTTCCCTGCGTTGCATCATGCGCGCATCAAAGATGCGTCAGATTGCTAGGACGAAAAAATTCTCGGAAAGCGGCGACATGAAATTTTGTGGCTCCCAAAAAGCCCGTTCTGCAGCCATTCGGGCTTGGTTTGCCTTGGTTTGCCTTGATAACCTTTCAGCTGGTTATCACGGAAGGCTCCTGGAACATCGAAAAAAATTGCAATGTACATTGATGCGGGCTAATGCGGCCGCAGAACGCAGCCTTTGTGATGAGCATTGAACAAGAATGGCAAGATATTATCACTCGCGTGACGCGCATCGCGAGCGTCCTCGTGCATGATGCAGTTTCCACAAGTAATTGCCATTTCTGGACTCGCGATTATTTCACGCGATTCACTCCAGGCGGAAGCTTAGGCGCCGCCTCAAGAATGGCTCGCTGTGCACCGCTGCAAGTAACATCGCCCGTGCGAATTTTGTCGCATGTGCGAATCACACCGCCTCTCGTAGTAACGATTGCGCTGCTCGCTGCCTTTCTTCCGAGTCGCGGCGCCCTCGCTGCCACTGATCCTGCTCACGGTAGGGCGAGTCGTTCCGACGACGTATTTCTTAGAATCTTCAAACACAATTTCGGTATGCCCTGACAGTACGAATTGGGCTGCGAAGGCATCTTTTCCATTACCGTTAGGTACAAAGTGAACATTTGCGTAATTTGCCTATCACTCGCGAAACGTGGCAATCAGTTCGCGAAAGCGTTTCGTGAGGATGCTATTGATAGCGGCCGACATGATGCGGTGCCGCCAGACGGTGCAAAGCGACCCCAATTCGTCAGAATTAGGGTTACCACACACTAATTTCGCAGGTGTTCCTGGAAGGCTGCGCAATGGCAATTGCTCTGCCATTTGATGGTAAGTCATGTCGGCCCCTGAGTTGACGATACTCGAATTGTTTTTATTAAATGATGCGCTCATGCGCTCATGCCCACGCCCATGCCGATGCTCATATGCGCCTCCATGCTCATGCTCATGCTCATGCTCATGCTCATGCTAATATGCTCATGCCCATATGCTCATGCACATGCCCATGCTCATGCTCATGCTCATATGTTCATATGCTCTTGCTCATGCCCATGCCCATGCCCATGCTCATGCTCATGCTCATGTGCTCATGCTCACATGCCCATGCTCATATGCTCATGCTCACATGCCCATGCTCATGTGCTTGTGCCCAAGCTCAGTGCCTTCTGGTGTTCCTCTCCTCTCCTGCTCCCCCCGCCATCCAGCGGCCATTCCGAGAACCTTCACTGCTCTAGGCAACCCCAGCAGCCCCAAGGCATGCCTCATGTCATGCACAGCTGATGCGCTGAGCGGCCATGCCCATGCCCATGCACTCTTGAGTCGATGCACAGCAAAACCTTCTTGCGTTCCCCTCCTTCCCTTGCCCCTTATTCCAGTGGCCGCTCTTAAGACCTTCGCTGCGCTAGGCAACCCCAGCAGCCCCCCTTTCAACGCGTGGACTGGGGACGACCCGTGTGGGCCAGACGCGGGGAGCGCATGGGCTGGCATCACATGCGACACTGGCAGCCCGTACAGTACAGTGGCTGAGATGTGAGTGCGGGAAGGGGGCGTTGGGTGGTGCTCACTTCCCTTGCTTGAACGGTTTGTGCGGGTGCAGGGAGCGCATGGGCTGGCATCACGTGCGACACTGGCAGCCCGTACAGTACAGTGGCTGAGATGTGAGTGCGGGAGAGGGGACTGATTGGGGTGGTGGTGGCTCTGTGCTTGGACTGGGAACAACTAGTGCGGTGATGTGGTGCAGCGAGCACATAGGCTGGCATCAGGTGCGACACTGGCAGCCCGTACAGCACCGTGGCTGTGATGTGAGTGCAGAGAGGGGTAATGAGGTGGTGCTCTGTGCTTGGATAAATGAAGACCCGTCAACCGTGCAGCGGTACTGATGCAGCCAATCTAGAAAGGTACTCGTGAGAAGTGAGCTTTGAGAGATACAAAGCTAGAAACAAAGTTTTCATGCTCCTCTCCCCTCTCTCAGCCCTATCGGTGACATTCAGGAAGCCAAGCTAACAGAAGCCTTATGGAATCACGGCTCTGCCTCTCCTTCCTAACCATATTCTTGCCCTGCCCTCCACTTTTCATCATATTCCTAACCATATTCTTGCCCCCTTGCCCTCCTCTCTCAGTGACATTCAGGACGCCAATCTAGCAGGAAGCTTTCCCTGCCATGCCCTGCCCCGCCCCTCCACTTTTCATCATGTCCCCAACTTTGCCCACTCTCCCCCACCCTCTCAGTGACATTCAGGACGCCAGCCTATCAGGAGACTTGCCGCCTTCCATTTTCGACCTCACATCACTTCGCTTGCTGTAAGTTGCCATCCCATGCCCATCCGCTCTTCCCTCTCTTCCACTTGACTGCGTCCCTCCTCTCCTTCTCTCCCCTTCTGTCTTGACCATCGCAATGAGTCAAGGTATCAGCAAGCATGCTAGTAGGCCTGAGAAAATGTGCGAGCCGGCTCAACAGGAGCATCTGGTTAGTAGGACAACCAATACGGCCTGCGCATGGGGGAAGAGGCCAGCGCCTCATGTCGTTCGTGGGAGCAAGCTTGTCTTGCACCATGCACAGGCCAATTAGCACAACCAATACCAAGAGGCCAGTGCCCCACGTCGTTTGTTTGTCCTCCTTCCCTGCTGTTTACACCCACCACTTTCCCCTGCCCTCTCTAGAAGTTTGCCGATGAACCATCTCTTTGCAGGCAGGTCTTTTTTGAACAACTCAAATTTGGCGCCTTAACCGTATATCTTCGTGGGCTGGTTTTATCTCACTGCAGTCTCGCACTTCTTATCCCTCCTTCCTCCACCGCCCAGTTGCACCCTCGCTGTCCCATCCATCCAGCTCATGGGGAGCTTTCGTCTAACAGCAATCTGCTTCTGCCTCTCCCCCCCTCTCCCCGTCTGCCCCGCCCCCACAGAAATCTGCCGTTCAACCCTCCCTAAAAACACAGGATGGTTTGTCGTTCACCAAAGTGACACTCCCTTCCCCCACCGCCCATCCTTGTCCCTCCCCTTGTCTATCCTCCCTTCCTCAGCAACCTGGCACTCAACCCAAATCTGACGGGCAGCTTTCCAGATGCTCTAGGGAACCTACTGCAGCTCACCACGCTGTGAGCACTCTCTGCTGCGCTGTGAGCACTCCCTTCTCTTCTGCAGCTTTCCAGATGCACTCTCTGCTACGCTGTGAGCACTCCCTTCTCTGCTGCAATGTAAGCACTGTGCTGCGTTACAAGCACACTGCTACGTTGTAACCACACCACACTGCATCTACGATATAAACATACACACTGCTTGTTCGTCAGCACAGGCTATCTGAACTTACTCCTCCCGTCCTCTTCCCTCACCCCATCTACGGCCCCTCCCTCCCCCCCCCCCCCCCTCAAACACAAGCAGTCACGTACACGGGTGCAGCCTGTCCGGCGCCATCCCAAGACCCCATGATGCTGCAGGGTTTTTTGAGAATTCTCAAAATACCCTGCAGCCTGTCCGGCTCCATTCAATGACCCCATCCACCGTAGGGCGGCTCACCAGCCTCAGATACTTCCTCTCCAATAAGAACCGCCTCTTCCTTCCTCCCCATCTCACGCCCCCCTCAATGACACACAGGGACATGCACGGGTGCGGCCTGTCAGGCTCCATCCCATCCACCATCGGCCGTCTCACCAGCCTCAAATACTTCCTCGTCAACCAGAACCGCCTCTCGGGCTCCTGCCTGCTCAGATCGGCACCCTCCCCCCAGCTCTACATGCTTGACGTCATGGACAACAGCTGGAAGGACCGCTGGACGAGGCTCGCTACCAAGTAGAGGTCGCTAACGCTGCCTCCACGCTGCCGTATCAGTCTCCTGCCCTGCTTCCCCCTCTCCCTCCCGTCCTCCTCATGCTTGGCGCCATGGACAACCGGATGGAAGGGCCCCTACCCTGCCATTGTTCGACTCGGGTGCCAAGTAGCTCGAACACCTGTGAGTGTCGCCCACCCTGCCCTGCTGCTGCCCCACTTCC